CTAAGTTAAAAAAAAAAAAAAAAAACATTCTGCACCAACTTTCCTAGGTTCTGGCCACACCTACGTCTGGTATTTCCACCCCTCTTAAATAAATCATAAGACTTACATTATAATTAATTAATTATCCGGATGGTTTATCTTCATAAATCTTCAGAGAAAGATTATAATCTTTTGATGCAATGAAGTGATGCCTTTCATTGCTCCAAATAGTGTCTCCTCGGGGCTTTAACCAAGACAAGGAAGGGGATAGTCCCACAGCCTGCAATGGGTATGCCCCCTAAATGATCTGTCCTCTAGGAATGTTGACAGATGGCTGTCAGGACCACCGGTCAACACTTCCTGGTAAGGAAACCAATGTGCAAAAAAAATCCTCTCAAAGTCCAGCCCCTTAGCTTAGATTCATCCAATCCCCTGTTGCTGGGAATGATTGGACCCAGCCCTGTTGTCCAATAGGGAAAAGGCCCTTATAATCAGACAGGAAAGAATAGATAGATATTAAAAGGAGCAAATCCCATAGGCGCCATCGTTATGTACCTCCCAGTGGCTCAGGGTCAAGTTTGCCTTGACAAAACAGAGTGAAGTCCTTGATCTGAACTTCTTCTAGACTTTCCTTCTACTAAGGAACATGACAATAGGTCATACATGTTTAGGAGGAGAGGGAATTCCAATAAAGAACAATTTTAGGAAATAAATGATCATTTACAGGGGAGAAGATATCTCAGAAGGTAAACCCTTCAAAAGCCACTCTGAGGAAGGTTTATCTACATTCTATAGTTTACAGTGTATTGGATCAGTGTGTAATCTTTAAATATTACATAGCATATATTGTTTTCAAGTTGCTTATATATTAAGTAAACCTAATAACAACAATAATAATAGGTATCTATGCTATCTGAAAAAAATCCCTTAGGAGCAATTAAGATTACAAAATAATTGGAAGCTATCAGATGATAACACCCACAATACGTCATCGAACTTTCAGCCTAGGTTTATTGAGACCTTAGGAAAATATGCAGGAAATATCTTGGGAATTTAGTTCCCAACTTAAAGAGAGTCCACATCCCTAAAGAAACTTTAAATAACCATGTTGACCAGATGCTCCTCCATGATATTATTTCAGATAGGAAATGTCATTTTAGACATAAGGCATCATAATAATGCTATTATTAAAAGATTCCACAGGGGTTTAACTTTCTGTAATAATTAGTTACTTGTAAATCCTTAAATCTCCTCTTTCCTTTTCTTCTTTGCTACAGGCTTCTAAAATCAGGGATGACACTTTCTCCTCAATCAAATATTAGCTCAGTTGACATTGGAGAGCAATCAGACAAGAGAATCTTCTCGTTATTAATAATTCAGTTATTTAGAAGTGACATGTCCCTAGATGCAAGTCCAGTGCACCATCTGGCAGCATAGCAGGGCCATTCATCTGAAGGTAAGGAAACTCAGCCTCTGGCTTTGAGGACAGTGCTATTAACTCCACTCTAGCTATGGGCCCACAGCTCTGCTTGGATTCCAAGTCCTGGGAAAGTGACTATGCAGCCGCAACATCCTAAGACCAAGTACACTTCCTTCTAATCCCACTTCACTGCCACTCACCTGGTTGCTCAGGCATATTCTCCTTGCTGTGGCCAAAGGATCTTTCTGATAATGCAAATCTGATTCAGTGTCTCCCCAGCTTAAATAATTCAACAGCCTCCTACTGCCCCTTCTCCATAGTGTTTGTAAGGCCCTTCCTTCTGTAGGAGCCCCTGCCTGTCTCCATCTCTTCGGCCACTCCTCACTGCCTCACTGCAGGGTGTTTGCACATTGAAGTGCTCTGCAGGCATTGTCCCTCCCTGGCCTTTGCCCTGTGCCTAGAGTACATGCCCTGTCCTTCTCTTAGCTTGCTTCTATGTCCCCCCTTTTTTATTATGTTATATCATACAGAAATTGCATAGGGAATCTGAAGCATAATAATTTAGCAAACACCCCAGAATCCCTTTCCATGCCTTTGTAGAAACACAACCTCTTCCCCACCCACTTTCTGTGCTTTGCTTTGTATAACCTTATCATGTATAGATGCATTCCTAAGCAACAGCTTATTCCTGCTTTTTAAAAAAATGTTGTCTGTCTTGCTTTCCCCTTCCAAAATGATATTCACCCAGTTATTAAGTATATCTTATTTTCATTGCTGATACTATTCTATCATACAACTATGCCACTATTTATCAATATGGGTTATATGGGAGGTAGCTATTACAAATACTATTTGGACCATCCTTGTACATGTAGACTTATGTCTATATTTATGTGTGCACAAGGGTCTTTAACCCATGGAATGCAAAACTTTAGTGTTTCCATATAATTCCAAATGATTTTCCTAAGTAGTGGTACTAGTTGGTACTTTCATAGGCAGTGTATGTGATTTTCCTAATTCTTTCGCTGCAGCTGCAGAGCCCTAGTGGTCTACCCAAACCCTGAAAGACTGGCTCATCTGGATTCCATTAGCATCTGTACCTCCTCCATCAGAGCACTGAGCATATCTTGTTGCATGCACATGGCAGGTGTGAAAAGACACTGCTCAGATGCACAGTTGCTGTCCTGCTAGGCATAATGCTTTAGTAAAGCCAAGGCCATATGTCCCTTGGGCTGCTCCCAGTCAGGGGCTAAACATAGTGGAGGTGTGAAACCAGGTTCATTGCTTTTACACATGAGATTGCTCTGTTGAAAGATGTGGCAACCAAAGTATATAGAGAAACTCACAGCTCCACAATAGGAAAGCAGAAAATGGGCCCAAAAAATCTGAACAGACATGTCACAAGTAAGTCAGCTATGCACGGCAGATAAGTACTTGAAAAGATATTTAACATCATTAGTTTTAAGAAAATGCAAACTAAAACTATAATGAGATACCATTACATGCCTGTTAGAATGGTTGATGCTAAAAATGCTCAAAAGACCAAGTTTTAGGGAGATGGAGCAAGTGGACCACTCATGCACACTGCTGGTGAGACAGTTGAACGATGCAGTCATTTTGGTGATATACCCATATAGATTGTATGACTCAACCATTCCGCTCTTACATAGTGACGTGGGATAAAAGAAAGCACATGCCCATGGAATGCTCATAGAAGCCTTACTTGTGACAGTCAAAAACTGGAAACATAGGACACAAAATCGGTATTAAACAATCAATACCAGTAATGAACTAACAGAGAAAGAAATCAAGAACACAGCCCCATTCTTAACAGTTTCCAAAAAACATGACATAGTATTATGGTTTATATCTAGATGTCCCCAGAGAGCTTCATATACTTATGGGTGGGGCTTTTCAGAGGGGAATGGATTATGAAAGTTTAGAGCTCGGTTAGGTTGCAGGGTCTGGTCAGAAGAGGTGGGCCCCAAGCCGGGGATTTAGCTCAGTGGTTCTGGCACCTGCCTCAAAAGCACAAGGGCCTGAGTTCGATACCTGGTACCAAAAAAAAAAAAGAAGAAGAAGTGGGCCACTAGGATCATGGCCTGGAAGGGTTAATCTGCCTCCCCAACCCCTCCCTTCTCTCTCGGCTTCCTCTCCACCATGCTGTGAGCAGCTTTCTTCAGCTGACCTCCACCAACCTCTGCATTGGAGCCAGCCAACTGTGGACTGAAACACGAGCCAAAACAAACCTTTAAGTTGTGAGTGTCAGGTATTGTGTCTCAGCAAGGAGGAAAATAACTGAGACAAATATCTAAAGATCAACTTAATCAAGAGATAGAAGATCTGTATAGTGAGAGCATTAAAGAAATAAATTGAAAACACTAGAAGGTGAAAAGACCTTCCGTGTTCATGGGCCAACAGGTATTATTGTTAGAAAGGCCATTTTACCTAAAGCATTCTGCAGATTCAATGCAATCCCCATCAAATTACCAATGACATTGTTCACAGAACTAGTAGTAACAAGTCTAAAATTTGTATGGAAACACAGAAGGCGCAGAGGAGCCAAAGTGATCCTAGGCAAAAAAGAAAGGCTGCGTGCATCACAATATTCAATTTTAAATTGTATTACAGAGCCACAGTAACAAAAGCAACATGGTAGTAGTACAAAAATAGACCAGTGGAGTAGAATAGAGAACATAGAGATAAGCCATACAACTATCTTGAGCCGTCTCCTTCTTGACAAAGGCACCAAAACATGCATTGAAGGAAAAATAGCCTCTTTAACAAATAGTACCGGGAAAACTGAATATTCACTTTTAAAAGATTAAAACTAGATCCTTATCTCTTACCCTGTACAAAAATCAATTCAAAATAGATCAAAGACCTAGGTATAAGACCTAAACCTTTGATACTACTAAAAGTAAGGAGGAGAAACACTTGAAGCCACAGGGATAGGTAAAAATTTCCTGAACAGAACTCTAATAGTACAGGAGATAACAGCAAGAATCAACAACTGTGACTGCATCAAGCAGAGACAGCCACAGAATGGGAGAACATCTTTGCCGCCTGCTCTTCCGACAGGATTAATATTTAGGATATGTAAAGAGGTTTTAAAATTTAACATCAAAATATATAATAGCCCAATCAACAAATGGGCAAATAAATTGAGCAGACACTTCTCAAAAGAAGTACAAATAGCCAACAGGTATACGAAAAAATGTTCAACATTTTTAGCCGTTAGGGGAATGCAAATCAAAACTACGCGGAGATTCCATCTTCCCCAGTCAGAATGAATATTATCAAGAATGGTTATGTAAAAAATAAATGCTGATGAGAATGTAAGGGAAAAGAAATTCTTCTATACTGTTGGTAGGAATACAAATTAGTACAGCCATTATGGGAATCAGCACGATGGTTCCTCAAAAAACTAAAAATAGGTGTACCAGTCGACCCAAGTAGGCTCTTTCTTTTTAAAATATTTTTATTGGTACATTTTAGGTATACAATACAGTTACTTTCATCATCAGGATCTTGCACCTTTACATGACAGGTCTTGGTTCTTATTTTTTCCCCTTTCCCCTAGCCTCCATTCCCCCCTCTACCCTTCCCTATTGGCAAAGATTTTGTTTCCACTTTTTTCTTTTCCCTTTTTACGTTTCTCCTACCTCTCCCATTTCCCCAACACCTTTAGACCTTTTCTTCCTATTACAAAATATCAATTATAGATTTTGACCCTTATTTACACTTGTAGTTTATCACACCAGAGAGACTATATGGTATTTATACTTGTATGTCCTATTATCACTTAAAAGTATGTCCTCAGTATGCATCCACTTAGCTATAAATGTCTCTAGTTTCTCATTCTTTATGGCTGAGTAATACTCCATTTTATAAAGAAACCAGATCTCCTTTATCCAGTCTACAGTTGATGAGCAATCGGGTAGTTGATGAGCAATCGGGTTGTTTCCAAGCTTTAGCTATTACAAACTGTGCCGCTATAAACATGGGTGAGCATATATCACTGTGGTGTGATTCTTTTAATTCTTTTGGGAAGATACCCAGAGGGAATAGCTGGGCCAAATGAGATTTCCAATTCTAATTGTTTAAGGTATCTCCATATTGATTTCCATAGTGGTTGCACCAGTCTGCACTCCCACCAACAATGAAGTGTTCCTTTCTCCCCACACCCCTGCCAGTATTAGTTATTGGTTGATTTCATAATAATAGCCAGTCTTTATGGGGTGAGGTGGAATCTCAGTGTTGTTTTCATCTGCATCTCTTGAATGACCAGTGATGTTGAACATTTTTTCATATACTTCATATATTGCTTTTAGTTCTTTGTCTGAGAAATATCTGTTCATTTCAGATGCCCATTTTTGAATTGGATCTTTATATTTGGGGGGCCTGATTTTTTTGAGTTCTTTATATATTCTAGATAGTAAACTTTTGTCTGAGAAATAGCTGGTAGCCGCGTGTGGTGGTGCACATCTGTAATCCCAGCACTCGGGAGGCTGAGGCAGGAGGATCTGTGAGTTCGTTCAGTGGTGCTATTGCCTGCCTCATAAGCGCAAGGTCCTGAGTTCGGTCCCATTACAAAAAAAAAAAAAAAAAAAAAAAAAAAAAAAAAAAGCTGGTAAAAATTTTTTCCCACATTGTTGTCTTTTAGCTCTGTTGGTGGTTTCTCTTGCAGTGCAGAAGATTTTTAAAAAGATGAGATCCCAATTCTTGATTCTTTGGGTTACTTCCCGTGCTACTGAGGATTTGTTCATAAAGTCTTTTCCTATGCCAATGTCTTCAAGATTTTTACTCCTATTTCTTGATATGTACCCAAAGGAATTCAAGTCGGCATATTATAGAGATAGAACATACCCATGTTTAGTGCAGTACAATTCACAGTAGATAAGATATGAAACCAGCCTAGATGCCCACCAATAGATGAATGAATAAAACACGTCATATATATATATATATGAATCCAGCTCCTGCCAAAGATCACTCCGCACACCAACAGAGCTTCTATGAGAGATTTATTGTAGAGCTGCCATGGCACAGTGGCTATTCCGCAAAGGAGGAAGAAGAAGAGAGAGAGAGAGATCTGGGTGGAAGCAGCTTGGTTATATAGTGGGTGGCTTGTGTAAGCGGGTCAGGAAATTGCATCAGCTGCGTGGGCAGCCACTCAGGGTCCATTATTTGTGATCCATTCCTTATATGGACAAGCCTTGCTCTCGTGTTGGTTTCACTTACAGATGATGACGTGTGATGTAGGAAATGGAAACTGAAGGTATAAAATGGCGGTCGCTAACCAAAGTGGTGACAATCAATCAATCAATCTAGACAGATAGATAGATAGATAAATAGATAGATAGATATTGTAGCATATATATATATACACACACACACACACACACACACACACACACACACATATGCTACAAACAAGAATGAAATCATGTACTTAGCAGGAAAATGGATAGAACTGGAAATCGTCATGCTAAGTGAAACAAGCCAGACTCAGACAAATGTCTCATATTCTCCCTGATATGTGTATAATTGTTAATCATGATATGTCAGCTTTAATGGATTAATAAACCCTCATGGATTAGTAAATCACAGTTCTGGGTGTCTCTGTGGATGTAGGCCAGCATACTGCAGGTGGAACACCCACCCTGGATATAATGGCACCATCCAATACGATTGCAGCCTGGACAGAATAAAAAAGGGAAGAAGGAAGTAGCCCTGCTTTGAAAGGCTCCAGTCTTCCAAAACGTCTGTCGTTTGCTTTCATTGCCTTTGAACATCACTCTCCAGATCTCCATCCCTCCTCTGATCCTGTCAGCCCTTTGCATAATCGTATATATTTTTCTATTGATTCTGTTCCTCCGGAGAACCCTTAACCAATACAGCATAGAACCAAAAAAAAAGCTGGGGAACATGAAAGTAGAAAATGGAAAGAAGATTATTATTAAATAGGAAGAAGGGAAGAGTGGCAAAAGGGCTATAAAGGAGAGAAATAAGGAGATGGATGTGATCAAAATATACAAATTGAAACCAAATATTTTATAAATTTAATAGACACTAATAAAAAAGAAAAGAGAAACTAGAAACAAATTCAAATTCTATCAACAGTAAATGAATAAACAAATTATAATATACCTATACAAGCAATACTGCTCAGCAATAAAAACGAATGCACTATTGGTATATTCACCACCGTGGATGACACTCAATTGTGTTGAGTGAAAGAAACCAGACAAAAAGGGTATATACTGAGTAGTTTTATTTACATAAAGTTGGCAGCTGAGGCAGGAAGATCGCAAGTTCAAGCCAAGCATGAGCAACTTAGTGACTTGCAAGATGCTATCTCAAAATAAAAAATAAAAGGGGGCTGGGGACATACTTTAATGTGACGACCCTGGGTTCAATCCCCACTACTGTAAAAACAAAAACAACTTCTCAAAAAAAAAAACAAACAAACTTACAATGACATAAAATAAATCACGGTTGCTTTGTGTGGGAGTGAAGCAGAGATTGCATGGGGCAATGAGAAACTTTTGGGACTTGATAGATATATTTATTATCTTGATTAGGGCAGTGGTTTCATGGATGCATACATATGTTGAAACTTATCAAATTGCATTCTTTAAATATGCAGTTTATTATATTTTAATTACCTCAAAACTATAAAAATATAACTCATTCACTAATAAGTATTATTCCCTGAGGACAATTTTACAGAATGAGAACTTTATCCTCATTCGCTCCTATTTTCTCTTCCTCAAATTCTTGAATAAAGGCGTAGATTACACTCATACGTGAAATTCAGTTCAATTCAGCCAAAGCAAAAAGAAAGTGCATACTCTAACGATGATGCAAGCATGTGTCAGAAAAAGTCCATGCCCTCTAGCAGTTATGGCCTGGGTAGCAAGAGAAGACATCAATATGTTTAAAGTGAAATGCCTAACAAG